ATTTCTCAAACATCCAGATAGATTCTATCCAGATTTTACAGATGACCCGAAAGCATTTTGGAGAAGTGCTCTTGAAAAGGGACTTGATCCTTGGACTGCCGATAAACATGGCGAGTCTGTTTTGAGTGTTCTTATTAAGGCAGATGCATCGGTTCTTTCACGTTATTTAGTTAAAGCAGCCGCATGTGACGATGTTGAGAATAGTATTTGTCTTTTAAAAATAATATGTAAAGATGGAGACAAACATTGGAAAGCAGATCTTGTCGGAGACATTATAAAATCGAGGAAAAATCCGTTAATGAGTTTAGAGGAACCGCTGCGCCTTTGTTGCGAAAATGTAATGAAAGCTAGCAATGCCAACGACAGAAGAGAAGACTATGAAGACCATGCAATGTCGTCTGTTCATTACAAGATTGCTGAAAGACTGATTTTACATGACGCCAATTTCAGGAATCGGTGTTTATCAAATCCTTCTTTTCGAGATATGGCAGAAACCTGCCCTGTACTAAAAAATCTTTTTTTGAAACCCATAGATATCAACAATATTTCCAAATTAATTGCCCCATGGAATTCCAGTTCCAAAAGGTACGAGGAAATATTAAAGAAAGTATCCAGGGGATTTGAGACTAAAAGAATCAAAGACATTTTGTATCACAAAGACCATATAGCAATTGGAGGGTTTGGTTCTGTGTTTGTAGGGATCAGTGAGAAGGACGGTAGAGAAGTAGCGATCAAGCGCATCCAAAATCGTGTAGTAAATGAACAGGAAATGAAAAATCTGACACGACTTGCAGACTGCGAACAAGTGGTTCGCTATTTGTACTACATCCCAGAAGATGACTTTTCTTACATGATTTCAGAATTGATGGAGGGAACGCTCGACGAATATCTAGCAGAAGGCATTGACAAAAGTGAAAGTGTTCAACTTTGTAAAGATGTAGTGATGGGACTAGAATTTTTGCATGACCATCCCAACCCCATTATTCATCGTGACCTCAAGCCAGCTAATATTCTATATAAAACACATCCTAAACTATGTTTGAAAATTGCTGACTTCGGTTTAAGCCTTCTTATTGATAGCAGTTCTAATGAAGGTAATGACGAACACATTGGCACAAGGTGTTGGAGAGCTCCGGAAGTTTTGGTGGAGCAAAACAGTCATTCAGTGTCATCAGACATGTTTTCGTGTGGACTGCTCCTCCATTACATCTTGTCAGGAAAAAGACATCCTTTTTCTAAACCTCATTGTGAAGAAGGGTATCGAAGTATTGGTGAGACGGAAAAGAACATAAAGAACGGTAAAATGGAAGGATGGGACAGCTCCCTTTTTCCTGAAGCCACTCACCTCGTAAAATGTATGCTTGAACATGATAGGAAGAAACGGCCAGCAGCAGGAGAAGCACTGAACCACCCATTGTTCTGGTCGAACGAAGAAAAGATGGATCTGCTGATTGCTGTAGGTAGTCAACCAGAGTTCTTCGAGTACCCGCGTTCAAAGGGGTTCTTACCTTTCACCCCAGTTAAGGAAGATCTAGAAAACAGATTCCATATCATTGTCAAGAATGCAAATTGGAATGACACGTTTTTTTTAAACATGCCTGCTATTTACGCTGAAATCCTTCAAATACCTGGAAGTCGGAGATATAACACCCGCTCTGTAGTAGAGCTAGTGCGATTTATTCAATACGCTCACTCACGCGTCTCTAGTATGGGCAAACAACAAGCACGCATCAAGAAAATGCTACTTGAAAACTTCATGTTTTTAGACCTTTTCCCTAATCTTGTGATTGAAGTATACCATGTTGTAACCACTCATGGCTGGGATCAAGAAAGACAGGAAATTAAAAACCTAATGCATTGTGATCGTCATCAGAGACAGCGTGCTTTACTGAGCCCTAGTGCCAATGTGAGACTCGACAAGGACCTCAAGGGACACACTCCTTGGATTTTCGTTTCCAAAAAATTTGAAAACAGGCTGAGCAGAGTTGCTAGCGAACAGGAATGCACGACTGTGGACGTGTATAGGTATCACAATGACCATATAGCATGGGGAAAGTTTGGTGAAATCTTTGCAGGAATCAGTGTAAATGATGGTAGAGAAGTGGCCATTAAACGTATTGAGAAATCGCGTATGCATCGACCAGAAGACAAAAGAGAAGTAGTCAACCTCACCACTCTTGCTGACTGCCAACAAGTTGTTCGATATTTATGTTTCATTAATGATGAAAATGATGATTTTTCCTACGTAGTTTTGGAACTGATGGAGGGAAATCTCGACGACTATCTTAGTGATACTTTCGATCCAAAACAAAGTATTAAACTTTGTGAAGATGTAGTTATGGGAATGAAATATCTGCACGAGCACAATRTCCTTCATCGCGACCTCAAGCCTGGTAATATCCTCTACAAAGTTCATCCTAAAGTGTGCTTGAAAATCGCAGACTTTGGTCTAAGTCGACGTATTGATAGCAGTGGCTCTAGCACAGTGTATAGCATTAATTCTGGAACGAAATGCTGGATTGCTCCAGAGGTGCTGAACTCTTCCGTGGATACTTAYGAACATTCTGAATCATCGGATATGTTTTCATGTGGACTGATCCTTCACTATATCCTGTCTGTGAAAAAGCACCCATTTTCTCCAGCTGATTGTGCAAACCAGACAGAAATTCAAATTTCACACGAAATAGAAGCCAACGTAGTCTGTGATAATAAGGAAGGATGGGATAACTCTCTTTCTCCTGAAGCCACTCATCTAGTTTTAAAGATGCTAAGAAATTGTGAGAGTTCAAGGCCAACCGCCGGAGAAGTACTAGAACATCCTATATTCTGGTCGAAACAAAAGAAAATTGACTTTTTAGTCGCCGTTGGTAATCAGCCAGAGTTTGCAATCCCTCGTTATAAAAGATCACCACCGCTGAGTGAAGTCGAGATTGTGTTGGAAGGAAGAATGAGTACTATTTGCGAACATGTAACGTGGATCGACCCAGAGTATAAGACAATACTTGCTATTTACTCTGAAATGCAAACTAAAAGGCCTTACGACACCTCGTCTGCAGTGGAGTTAGTACGCCTCATACGAAATGCATATGCACACGTCTCTGCTGAAAAGAAACCAACACCTATGCCAATCATAAAACTTTTGCTTGAAGACTTTGTGTTCCTGGATGTTTTTCCAAAGCTTTTTATAGAAGTATACCATGGTGTTACTACTTTTGGCTGGAGTACTACAAGGGATGAAATTAAGTACACCATGAAAAAATAATAAGGTATGGATTAAAGACATAGCTTTAAAGATTACAATGGAATTTGTAGTTTTGCGAGCGGCGGGAACTTGCTGCAAACAAAGTGAACAATTTGAAGAGCCTGCTTGAGAATTAGATATCAATAGTTTATAATACACTCAACAAAATTACTCGATTCTTATTGGACAAGAAGAGTAAAATTAAATCGTTAATTGTACTCTGTAGAATACCATTAAGTTGCTAAATTTTGTGGAGTGTACATTATAAACGAGAAATCGCACGATCTTCTCAAGGGCCCTTAGACAGACGGATTTGGTTATATATCGGTGTGTTTGTTTCACTTATTTGTAGTTACTAAATAGTGATATATGTTTGTTTCTAAATAGATACTAAATAGGGCTAACTTATCTTAGAAGTAAACGTCCTTTCCAACCAACAGTTTTTCTGGTTTGAATCAGCTGTACGTTTTGAGTATTTACCGATGTACTATCCGTACCAAGCAGTAAGGTATTGAAGGTAAATTTGATTAACTTATAACTTATTAAAGAAATTAATCGCTAACGAAGCGACGCCGGCGCTGCTTGGCACGGATAGTGCAGCGGTAAATACTCAGAGCGTACAGCTGATTCAAACCAGAAAGACCGTTGGTTGGAAAGGACGTTTACTTCTAAGATAAGTGAGCTCTATTTAGTATCTATTTAGAAACAAACACATTTCATCACATCACTCTTACCAATTGTACTCGAGGTCTTTCGATTTCCTATACAAACCAAACGAAACAAAACAGATCAAGATTGAAAAAAACAAAACAACAAAACAAAACAGAAATTAACCAGAAAACTAAAAAATACACCGGCACCCTAACCTTAATGTCGTTTCATACCTAATCTAACACAATCCTTTTCAAAATATCTTTTTATAAACAAATGTATTCCTTTTAGAATACCAAGACAATAGTGAAAAGCAGCATAACAAAAAGCTTGAGGTCTATTAAGTGGACCACACTTTATCAAATCAATTAATTTATAAGTCATCGATAAGAAGTTCTCATGTTTTTTTTTTTTTTAGATTACATGAAACATGCGGCGAAATGATTGGTTGTTGTCATCGACCGACACACCTTATCAACTGCTAATGCACTACCAAGTTGGCTAGTACTGAAAGTAACAGAACAATGACAAAAGATGATATTGCATATCCTTGTACGATAATCATTATTTAGACTTCGTTTTTTTCTTTTCTTTTTTTCTTTCTCTTTTTTGTAGCTGATATCAAGTAGGTTTTCGATGACACAAAGGACATCGCACAATCAAATACTTCACAGCCATTTTGAAAAGTTATAACTCAACACATGAAATTTTGACCAAAATTAGGAAAATGAAATCTTAAAATAAGCTTATAATGAACTTTCAATACGAAAAGCGATGTGATCGCGTTTTTTACTTTGCTAAGGAATAGCACAATGGTGCTAATAATAATTAGTTAGACTCACTTATTGCCCGCTGATGTAAAAGGACAGTAGTAATAGACATTACCAATATCCACTAGTATATTGTAGACAGCCTTTATACTTTACTAAGGTATGGCACAGTGGTACTAATAATAATCATTACTGGCCGATGTAAAAGGTTACAGTAGTAATAGACATTACCATTATCCACTAGTATATTGTAGACAGCCTTTATACTTTACTAAGGTATGGCACAGTGGTGCTAATAATAATCATCATTACTGGCCGATGTAAAAGGTTACAGTAGTAATAGATATTACCATTATCAAGTAGTATATTGTAGACAGCCTTTATACTTAACTAAGGTATGGCACAGTGGTACTAATAATAATCATCATTACTGGCCGATGTAAAAGGTCACAGTAGTAATAGATATTACCATTATCAAGTAGTATATTGTAGACAGCCTTTATACTTTACTAAGGTATGGCA